AAAGTGCATTTAACGCGGGGTAAAGACTTCATGAACTAGTGAACGAAAGTTTGGAGAAAGAATTAAACTCAAAGAGTTCGGAGAAAATTTCAAAAAGTATGGAGAAAATTCTCGAAAGATCGGAGAATATTTCCAAAAGTTCGGAGAATATTTCCAAAAGTTCGGAGAATCCTAACAATCATGTGGTAGACATATTTTTATTGACGGCAATTAAAACTCCTCCTCCATCCATTTAATTGGAATGACTGGTGTCTTCCCGATCTCGACGGTAGATGTGAAAAGAATCAGAAAAAAATTCAGAAGAATTTATTTAAATATTAAGCCACGTTTCTGTCAGGCAAATAAGATCATGATCACAGTTTAGGAAATGTTTGAATAGTAAGTTTAATTTAGTTTTAATACCTCTGAGTTATGGTAAAAAAGGATAAAGCCATAAAGAAAGAAAAGGAATACTAGAAAAATATAAAAAATTAAGGCATTTTATTAATATCTTCCAACGATAAAATTTTGCCGATTCTTGATCTCTCATCTTTTCTAACGAGTACACAACCTTCGCGTACCCAGAAGTATTTGTAGTTTTTTGTTTTAGCCATTTTTTTAGCATTTTTTAATAAAGCCCTAGTCGAGGCCGTTAAACCCGAGAATACCGATCAAGGAGAAGCGACAGTAACTGTCGGTGCCTTTGATATCGGATGTACCTTTTTCACAGCATGACTTTGATTGATACACAACTTAGCACGCTGAGAAAACATGCTTATTTTCTACACTGAGCGAAATAGTTTGGCAAATTATCTGAAATTATTGTTATAGTCCATGCGCAAATGTTGCAATGTGATTTAATTACATTGAAGTAGTTAGGGTTAATAGCAATGGTAAAATTTCGGCACCAAAATATAATTCATTATGTAATAATTAATTATTTGTTATAAAAGTAAAAGATGTTTATTATTTTATAATTTATCTATAAAATTTGTTCAATATTTGGTTTATTTATTGTTAAAAATGTAATAAAAGCCCCATATTTAAATTAAATTACCTTTTACTTAAGTAAAAATAAGGTAAATAAAATTAAGGGTGCCAAAAAAAAATTAGGTAACAATTAAAAAGACATTAAGTTTGAGAGGTTTAACTAAATATTTGCAATGTAGATATATTTTCAAAGCTTTTAGGTTTGAAAAGTACTTACATATTTTTAGAATTTCTAGATTTATATTATATTAAAAGGACTTTCAAGTTTATCACTCATTTCTGTAGAAACAAATGTTTTCTCGCCAAGTTAAACGAGATGTCGTTTAAGGTTTATGTATTTAGAGTTAAATACCTGGTCTGGCTATCACCCAAACAATACAAATATGTCCATTGGACGTCCATTCGATATACAATTTTGGATGTCTAGACGTCCAAAAATGAGTTTTCTGGACTTCCGACATCCAATGGACGTCCAGTGAAGTATACAAATGGCACACTTTTGACCATTCAGAGGACGTCCAATTCTGGAATATATTTGGACGTCGAATACTGGACATTCAAAAAACGACCAGGATTATATTTCCATTGAGACCACATCCCCATTTTTTTTTACAAAACCGCAACTCACCAAACACTATTTTATATTATTAATAATTTGTTTTATTATTTTCGCAGACCGCTATACACCATTTATTTATTTTTTATTAAAAATTGCTTGACCTGAGCAGGCATCGAACTGACGACACATCCGTTATCGTTTTACGCTTTCAATCGCTAGACGAGCTCGACCAAGGAACCACTTGAAAACTTTTTTCTAGATACAGTTATAATTGAATATGATTTCAAACTTCCGCTGATAGAATGAAATGCAATAGATTCAATTTGTCAATTTTCAATGACCAGTTATATTAAAAAAAAGAAGTTTATATAGATGGGTATTATTTGGTAGGCTTAATAAATAATGACCTAAGATGAACGTCAAAATACTACTAAACTTAAAAAAAGTCCAAAAAGAGACGTTCTCTGGGTATCGATATTCATCTGTCAATTTAATTAGCATAAACGGACGTACACTGGATGCCCGGATATGGACGTCCTGACCCTTAAATAGATCTAAAGTGGACGTCCATTGGACTATGTGTGCATAGACGAATTTTTAGAAATAGTACTTAAAGTATGCACCAATATTTCCAAAATCAACTCCAGTATGATTCATTCAATAAATGTAAATATGAATGGGCAAAACATCTTTATATTGACATAATTGTAACTTGCAATTTAGCCATAATAAAGGGATTTCGCCAACTTTGGCCAATCCTAATTGAAACACGCGAATTTATTATATTTTTTAAATATAATTTCAAAATAAAACAAACAAAATCTGCAGTTCATTGTTTATTAAATTTATTTATAAGAAGAAAAACATATATTTCACAAAATACAATACCTACATATGAAAAATAAAATGTCAAAAATGATTAAATCATTATACTTAATATTTATGCATGTGATAAAATTCTTAGTTTCCTAATAACTTTTTTGGCACATTTTATATCTGTATTAGAATACCTAAGTGTGTAAAAATCTTCATCTTATTACTACACAAAACAAACACCAAAAAATATCACTTAACATTGCTCACGTACTAAACACAACTTGGACTGACTTTGACAGATAACATAATTTTGAGTGATACACAACTTAGTTTCGCACATGCGCGTTACAAAACGGTACGCTGAAAACACCAAGCTGTCGCTTCTCCTTGATCGGTATTCTCGGGTTAAACGTTCATTAATAAACACTTGATCGAAAAGATTTTCTACTCTTAGTCCTGCAGCTGGTAAACCACTATTTCGGCGCCTAATTTTCGAAGATGTTAAAATATTGTCTCCTGCCTTTTTGTGTTAATTTGACAATTATAGATTTTAAAATTGTTAGAGACAGATGAATTGTTGGCTCTAAAAATAGTTTCTATGTCGTCTGGCAAAATAGGGCACTCTATATAATCTCCTATGTTTTTAGCAATATCTAATAAATTTTCATCTTGTTTATATGAACCTCTACATGGTGGTTTAGAGTGTGTACTTTTTTAAGAAGAACATTTTCTTTCGATATTTTTTCAATAGTTTCCAATTTAGTATTAACCTTCTTCATCATTCCTTCAAATGTAGATTTTTCATTGAAATTGCCCATGTGAGATTGAATACTTTCAACAATTTTCAGAGTAAGTAAAGATGTCGGTTCCTTGTAATTTTCTTCATCGTGGTCGTCGGGATTAACTACTCCAATAATAAAGCTTAAGTTACGTTGCAAAAAATAAAACAAATAGAAACATGTGGCTTGGAACCACACAGTAAAAATAAATTGGAGAACTGTTGGCAAAAAATATCGAAAACAAAAGCGTAACTTAATTGCAGAAAAGAGAAAAAGTGGGAAAATATGGCACCAAACCAGAAGTCCAAAAAAATAAGAATATACAATATACTCTTTTAACAACTACCCAAATTTCCACCATAAGAACAGGAGAAGAAGAAAACATCGATAAAAACAAAAGAGGTGGAAAAACTTGTTACTTATAAAAAAATAAAGTTAAACATCAATCTAAAAAGGCTGGATATGACCTTATTATAGATAAAGTACAAAAAAACTCCCAAAAAGGCATTATCAAACTTAAGAATTTTATAAATGCATCTTTTAGACTGAAGTATAAACCAATTGATTTGAAAATTGCGAAAGTCATTATGATCTCGACACCAGGAAAACCACCAAGTGAACCTAAATCGTACATACTTATTTGTCTATAATCAGTAAAATCAAAACTCTTTAAAAAGCTGCTATTAAAGAGGCTTAAAGTGATCATAGAGAGAAAAATTCCAATGAAAGTCCATCAATTCGGATTCAGAATTCAGCATTCCATTACACAGTGAAACAGGATAAGGAATTGAAACAAACTAAAGCAGGAGTACCCCAACGGAGCGTCCGTGGTCCTGTCTTGTATCGACTATATACTAACGATAAAACAGAATTTCAAAACCGCTACATTTGCTGATGACATCGCTATTTTAGCTATTTTAGCAGATAAAGACATTGAAAAGCTACAACAATTACCAAATAAATTCAGCAGAGGGGAGAATAAAATTAAATATACTAAAATATCTAAATATAATAACCTAAACAACAAAACTATCACGATAAAAGGTTCCCATATAAGAATAATTAATTAACATATATGCAAAGCTTGAATGGAAAAAGTGCATCAAGAAGAGAACATAAAAAAAATATTCAGGTTAATAGGCATAAAATTAAAATTGTCAGTTAATAACAAATAGCTCATCTATAAGAAAGTCATAAAACTTGTCTAAACTTATAGTGTACATATTTGGAGTTGTACTAAACTAACTAATATAAAGTTTATGTCGTAGGCGGATTGTAAAATCCGTCATATTATCATACGCCTAGGCGTATGATTATACGTCAAGCATATCATCAAACAGTCGAATTTATTCGAACGTCGAACAATACGCCTAGTCATAATATTTCGCCTAACAATTTTTTTGGCTTATCCTCAGACGGATGTAGGTATGCGTCCGTCACACAGTATGACGTAAAATTTATTTGCAAAAATATTAATTGTTTATAATACGAACACTTTATTAAGAATTCTTATAAAAACATAATATACTATGGTAAGAACATTTTTTTAAAAACCATTAAACTAAATACAACAAATATACAGGGTATATAATGTTATTATTTATCTAAACATGGGCTGCTATTGTGACATCTGCTATTATATTTTAACTGTACCTTGAAACAAAAGCAGCGTTTTGTGATGTACTGAGTGTTACTGCGTTTGCAGGAACACTTTTTAAATCCTTGGCCTCGAAAAAGAGATGATTGTGTAACAGCTTCTCTTAATGTAATGTCAACGTCTGGAACATTAATTAACTGAGTTGCTGAGTTCTGTGAAATTTCATTTCTTTGACACCATCTCTTAATTCTTCCATGGGAAGTCCCTATTTGGTAATTACAATCTTTAACCCTCAAAATGGTTCCTATTATGTTTTTTGTATCCAGTGGACCGCGATCCACTTTTGGAATGGCTATAGTGACCATATCTTTCACTTTCAGTTCAGTTAAAATATTCTTTGTGTCCAAAACCATTTTATCAGTCGCTTTTCTTTGTCCTCTTTCTTTCTTCGTCAATATGCTGCTACCCTAAGCACAGATTACATACTTCGTTGGGATCGTTATTTTTACAGATCAAGCATGTATTCCTATTTTCCATATTCCCCTTGTTTTGTTCATTTTCTGCTATTATTACAGTAAAAGGTCTGAGATTTGTATTGGATTGATTTGTATTTGCTTATAAGCTTCGTCATGACCAACGAAAGATACTTCTTCAATTACTACGTTTGGAATATCCTCATTTTTATTTTGATCTGCAACATCCGGAATTTCATTGTTATCTTCGATATCCATGCTCGAATTTTGATAAAAAACCACAATTTCATTGTTATCTTGGATATCCATATTTGTATTTTGGTCTTCAATATTCATATTGTCAGCTTCAATCCCATTTTCCAAATAACCATTTTCCTTCAAGACATTTTGTAATTGCTCTTCATTTTCTATTTCGTTAATTACTTCAGTAGGTAAGCTTATGGAATTTAAACCAACTTGAAAATTAACCCCAAATAGCGCTTTATATAGAGAGCGTCCTATTATTCTATGAAAAGATCAGTTCTTATGCCATTGTACATAATAACATCCCAAAGACCAATTTTTACTGTTATTATCTTTCAGCCAAGAACGTATCATGTTAACATCATGATTGCTGCGTTCTACACTGCCCTGCCTTTGTGGATGTCGAGGTCTACCATTTATAATCTTACACGCCGGCCATTTTTCAACCAAGCTTTTTATAATTGTGTTAACAAATTCTCTACCGTTGTCACTTTGTAATATTTTTGGTGCTCCCCATTCAAGAAAAATTTTTAAAAGTTCTAATGATACATCTTTAGCCTTTTTTGATTTAAGCGGTCTTAAATGGATAAATTTAGTGAGATGGTCTTGATAATTAAGCAACCATTTAAAGTCGCCATCAGGCGTAGACTGAAAGTCAATAAGATCGACTTGGGCTCTGTGGTTCCAACCTTTAGTAACAATTGGTTTTACTACTATCCCTTTGTGGATCTGATTCTTTTTTTCAGCGATTCGTATGCAACATTTTAAAAATATTTCGACGCATGGGCGAGGAATGTGGTATTTTTTGCCCAATTCACTTATCATTTTATCTCGTCCGCCATGCCCTGTATTTTTATAGCAGTCCAAAAGCTTGTCATATATTTCTTCATATGGAACTATAAAGATGATTGGCTCATTTTCATTTTGTCTTTGTTTTATAACCTTTCTTACACCACCTATTTCTATGACGTCATATTTATTTCCATAGTAATACTCATCGTTAGTACGTCTCTTTTTATTTAAAACAGTTTCCCTGTTTCCAATTAGAATCTGAATTATTTCTGTATGACGTTGTAGTGTCCATGGTTTTTTAGTAACATTTTTAGATTCTAAAAGAGAAAACATGTTTAATATTCGAAAAAAAAAATTTTAAATAATATAAAAAGTAGCACGTGTGGTTGGTTAGACACTACCTTTTAATAACTTGAAGCTAGGACACAACCTAAAATAAAATATTAAATAGAAAACTTCAGGAATATTTAATATTTTTCATTGTGCCGCGGCCTTTAGAGTTTAGAGTTAGTATTTACAAAAATGTCTATCTTTTGTTTTTTGTTCTAATTATTTAAGGTTATGTCATTAAATTTGCATTTATTGATTACATTATTACATACCTGCATAAAATGTATTTAATTTCTGTATAAATATTTCTTTTATTACTGGTTCTTGCATATTGCACTTATATTGTTATATTGTTTCACAATAACTGAAAAACTCTTAAAAAGTCCCAAACACAACTGTTTTACTTTACAGATTTACGATAAGACTAATAAATTGCTAGGCGAAATATTATGACAAGGCGTATTATCGACGTTCGAATAAATTCGACTGTTTGATAATATGCCTGACGTATAATCATACGCCTAGGCGTATAATATGACGCATTTTACAATCCGCCTACGACATATACAATATAAAGTACTCCGATTATTGTAGATCCTCTCTGGTATATTTGAAATACAGATTTTCATCCAAATTTATCCCAAAAAACACGAAGCTAAACTTTATACACATGCATGTAAACCACCAAATTCTTCAGAATCTTGACTAGTATGAAACAGAAAGAACAAGGAAGAAGACAGAACCATTAGGTCTTGTGCGAGTAAATAGTAAAAGTAATTAAAAATCAGAAAATAATGAAATAGTGCAGGTTTCAATAGAAATAAAGAAGAAAATAAAGCAAGAAAACAGTACCTGAAAGACGCTAATGGGTTCTTTATTAGTTTTAACGTTTTAGTTTATTAAAGTTAGGATTACATTGCTGGTACTTTCAGGTGCAATATAATGCTTATTACAACAATCAATATTGTGTACAGTGGGAGTAAGGCTATCAGCTAAAGAAATATAGTTGTTAAAGGTTTATTGATTTCAAGCATCGAATCGTTTCATTTACGATCCAACAGACGATATTTAAAAACTAGAAGATCCAAATGCGCATAATGGGGCCTATATTAAGTATACCCTTCATGAATCCATCACATTGGAAAAGTATAAACTGTTTTGGAGTAATTCACAAAAACTGTTTATAAAATATTATTAAGTCTTCTTGTTTTTTTAAATGACAGTTTGGATTTATTTCAGAGGGTAGTTATTTCAGACATGACTTGTATGTTTGTCTTTGTCGGTTATGGATTACTTTAGGAACAGTTTTTAGTTATTATTTGTTACTTTACAAACTATTAACAAAAGACAATTTTTAGAGGCGTCCATTATAGACCTGTATGTTGATAGGGGGAAAGGTGGAAAAAAATTATGGACACTTTTTACGTTTAAAGTTCTGAAAAACCCTGTATACTAATAAAACAACTTCATGATCAATTTTAATACCAATTTATTAATCATTATTGTTACAGATACCTACTGAAAGTTAAGGATCAACACCTAAAATTGTAAGTACCGAACATTTTTGTTATTTTTTAAAATTTACTGCTGATACCGCAGAACGACTCAGGTCCCACAGAGGGTGTTTGAACCCCTTTCATTGCGAGACTATCAGCAGTCTCATTACCATTACACCCGTTATGTTTTGGGACCCAAGTGAGAGTAAATATATTTTCCTCGATTAGCTCATACAGTTTTTATAGGCATCTACAGACCATTTTTGAGCAGATTACGTGATATCTCAGCGCATTAATGGCTTCTTGGTTATCGGACATGATAATTATCTCTTGTCTACGATAGTTTCTCTCGATGTTAAACTGGATACACCTTTGAAATACCTCTAAATAACAGGTCTTTCAGTTGCAAGCACGATTGGTTCTTGGCTTTATTCTTTCTTGCATCCCAGCTATATGGTTTTGAAGTTTTTCTACAAAACTGTACTTCTTTCACATTTTATCTCAAGGCATATTCCAAGTATATTCGTTTCTGAAGCTAATACACTTTTGTGTGATTACTTTGTTCCTGATCATTCTTTATCGTGACTTTTTTGCCACGCTTTTTATCATTAAATGTAGAAAAGTAAGGTTTTAGGTCATTTTCATTGCGGCCTTAGGACTGGTCTCATTGCAGCGGTGATATAAACACAGGCTTGTCTTTGTTCTTTTCAGATATTAGCCCTCGTAGTAGCTAAACCAAGCTATAGCTCAGTAGGTAATGAATGGTCTCCCTATTGCTGTATAAATCCATCGCAGTGTGTTAGGGTTACATTTATTATTTTTTACCATTAGGCCATTGTATACAATAACTTATAACTTTCAACCAATTCTAATACAGTTTTTGCACATTTGGTAGAATCATTTCCTAAAGATTTAGTATCTATATCTCTAAACCAACCTGCTGTCTTTTTACAATTTCAATGCTAACTCCACTTCTACTGTAACCCTTTAGGACAGAGTTCTATGTTTATACGAATGGAGCTTTAAATATTGCTTTTTTATTTAATTATTTTTTTAATATCGAGTATGGTATCTAAAGCGGACCTACAGATACTAGGTGAACTAAAGGAAATGTTCTCATCTGTTGCATGTCTTAAAAATTCTATATTGTACGGATCAATATGATTGTACGTTCCCGCAAGTAGGAACAGTTGATAGCCTAACCAGTAGGCAGAGAAAAATAGACTGCATGTCTTTAAAAATTGTTCTATTAAATAATAGTTAAAAAAATGAATAAAAAAGAATAAAACGGTTAAGAAAAAACTATTGAGACCAAATCACTTACCCAAACTACATCTAGATGTAACGTGAGAGCTCTTCTTAATTCCGGTATCCAAGGGATGATCCAGGCTTTTTTCCTACTACAGGTTTTTATTCTAATTTTACCGTTAAGAACGTTTTACAGCAAAAATTTAAAATTTACCAGTTCTCGAAACGGTTTATTTCGTACTGACCTTTTCAAAGGTCTTTTCATCGTACGAATCTACAATCGTGATTCGGTTTCAAAATACGCGTAAATATATTTGAACCTACCAATAGGCAACTCAAATTACACGTGACTGAATGAAGTTGTTTAATAAATTACCCCTCAAAATGACAAATAAAAGTTTTAAATGATTAGGATTCAACAATGATTCTGTTATAAAATAACCACCAATTTTTATAATGTAGTGTTATATTGCTTTAAGCTATTTTCCCATAATTATAAAAGGTATTTGAAGGGTACAGGGGAAACACGGGCTAAGTCAAATTTAATGATTTTGAAATAATTCAATTTTAAATTTCAAAACGCTACAAAATATAAAGTATATGCATTCAAAACATTTTTTTTACCAATATGTTTCCTAACTATTTGGGATCTATTAGTCGTAAATTCAAAGCATTTAAAAAACTTTTTGATAGAAAAATTAACAATTTATTGTTTTCCCCCTGAAATTAAAGAAAAATGTTTTTTGAAGAATATTTCTTTCAATCAAAAAGTAGCTTTATGTCTACAAATCTATTATAGTGAACCTGAACTTTAACTAAATTCAAATGAAAAAGTAGAAGTTCGATTAGTGTAAGAAAATAAATAATCGTTTTTTGTTTAACTTGAAAGTTTCTTTATACAAAAGAAGTCCTTCATATTTCCAGTCAATTATGCACCAGTGAGGAAAAATAATCTTGAGCTTCTTTTCCACAGAACTTTTTCAAACTCTGCAAATTGGCAAATTTTTCCGCTGAAATTGGTATTGGACCTGGAGCGAATAAAAAAAAATGTAATAGTTAAACTAACAGTATAATGAGTATAGGTTTACCTGCATAAGATATTTCTTGAAAAAGAAATTGGCTATTTCTCTCCAAATTTTTAAGAACGAT